TCCTGCACGTAAACAGCATGCGCCTGCGTCGTGGTACTCTCCAAAATGGTGCCAGGGTGACGTAGAGGAGAAGAATTGTTGAATAAATTGGTTATTTTTGTTTTCTTTGCGCACAAAAAGTATTCTCGTAGCTTTGTAAAATTATGGTTGAACGACTGATGTCACATGGACTGTTTTACCGATGTCCTTACTGCGTTTCTGTGCCTTGCCCGTGGTAGTACCCTTGCTGTCTGTGGAGAGTCAGAAAGCTCTCGGATTTCATCACAAATATCTTAATTTGTGTTCCGAAGATGAATGCAGGTCTTGGAATTACGGGCAGAATTAATGACAGAATTTTCATTTCTGGGTGAACTATCCCTTCAAAGCAGGTTTGTGAAGACAAATAGGCCATTTGTTTGACCCTATGGTCAAATTCAGCACATATTTTTATACAAATTATTTCAGGTCTTCAGATGATAATAGGTTTAAATATTTAATTTCATTGCTATTTTTAAGTATTATGTAGCTGGTGAGTCATGCTTATTTTATGTGCTTCGAGCCACTTCTGTTTCCTCTGAGGGAAAAGACTTGATATACACATACCTTTGTGAGTGTAAAAGCAAACAGTCTCTACAAAGATTGCACAACCAAATAAGAGTAAACTTCATGTGATATTGACTGTAAGTTGCTATCATATCAATGTCCTTATATGCAGGAATATTTTCAGACCCAGTGAGTAATCAGTAGAAGGATAAGAGACCGTTTATATTTCAAAGTCTGAAAATGGCTGAGAATACTCTTGTGATGTGTTTTTATTATTATTATTTTTTTTTTATTATTATTTTTTTTTTTAAGAATTTTGTGAAATTCAGAAATGTTGGTATATTGTCAAGGTTTGTTTAGTCTCAGTTCTAAATATCCCTGACAACACCCACAGTCTATTCTCTGACCATCTGATGTAAACCAAAACGTCAAGAACTTGGTCTAAGGGCGTACACGGTTTTGTCAAACAACCTGGAAAAGATACTGTTTGTTAAAGGGTTACTCCACCCCAAAATGAAAATTTTGTCATTAATCACTTACCTCCATGTTGTTTCAAACCTGTAAAAGCTTCGTTCGTCTTCGGACCACAATTTAAGATATTTTGGATGAAAACCGGGAGGCTTGTGACTGTCCCATTGACTGCCAAGTAAATAACACTGTCAAGGCCCAGAAAAGTATGAAAGACATCGTCAAAATAGTCCATCTGCCATCAGTGGTTCAATCTGAATTTTATGAAGCGACGAGAATACTTTTTGTACACAAAGAAAACAAAAATAACGACTTTATTCAACAATTCGTCTCCTCCGAGTCACCGTAGCGCCATTTTGGAGAGCATCCACTGAACGCAAACTGCGTATGCTGTTCTGTGTCAGCCGCACCACACGGATACGGTTTCTACGTTTAATTTACGCTTTGATTTGAACGAAAACAGTGTATCCATGTGGTGCGGCTGACACAGAACAGCATACGCAGTTTGCGTTCAGTGGATGCTCTCCAAAATGGCGCTACGGTGACTTGGAGGAGACGAATTGTTGAATAAAGTCGTTATTTTTGTTTTCTTTGCGTACAAAAAGTATTTTCGTCGCTTCATGAAATTCAGATTGAACCGCTGATGGCAGATGGACTATTCTGGCGATGTCTTTCATACTTTTCTGGGCCTTGACAGTGTTATTTACTTGGCAGTCAATGGGACAGTCACATGCCTCCCGGTTTTCCACCAAAATATCTTAAATTGTGTTCCGAAGATGAACGAAGCTTTTACGGGTTTGGAACGACATGGGGGTAAGTGATTAATGACAACATTTTCATTTTGGGGTGGAGTAACCCTTTAAGGAAGTCTTTGTTGGAATTGCTGTAGTTTGAATAAATCTTTGAAAAATACTATTTTTGCTTGAGCCATTTAAGTAGCAAGTTAACTAGCTATTAGTTAGTAGGACTGTATATTCTACTTTGTTTTCTAAATTACAGTACATAATATGAATTATTATTGACTGCAATCTGGACCAGATTTTATGTTTTCTATTGAAAGCCTGTCTATGCAAGACTAGGACTTGCTGGCTTAATAATTACCAGTACTAAAGATTAAACTTGTTTGCTGCAGCTTGACATATCAAGGCAAACAGACCTTCCTGAGAACTCCTTGTGCACCTTTTTTCTCATCCACAAAAATGCTGAAGAACTAGTTTTTCTGGATTTTGACGGTCTGTTTATTGCCTGTATTGGGTATGAAAAACATTTCTCTGAATTTTGGAGGTACACCTTCCACTGAAGCACGTGTTGTTTGCTTTTATGTTCAGACATTACGTTTTTGTAACATAAAGACTTCTTTGAGGGCTAATTTTTCACAGTTGTGATCTCGTGGTGTATGAACCCCATCAAAGCTCTCTGGACCTTATCTGTTTTGGCTTGTGAATATCTGAAATGTGGGTTGAATACAGCTTTTCTGGAGAACATTTGTTTGAAATGTATCTATTGCACAGGGTTCTGTTGCACTGTTGTGTGGTTGTTTTCTAGTATTGTTGAGGTGATTATTATCTCATTATATTTCTGGTATAAATTAGGTGTCTATATCTCAAAATACTCGGACTGCCTTGACCTGAAGCGCTGGTACGATGGCAAGACAGGCTACATAGTCCTTTTGAAGCTGACCAAGGTATGCAAGTTGGTGGGAAATTTTAATTCTTCCACCCACATTCTGTTACTTTGTGCTGATTTTTCCTAATGCACCACATGCAAACATGTTTTCTTATATATTTAAACATCAGGGGAGAGTGAAAGAGGTTACAGACAACTACACCCAGAATTTCACTCCTCCGACAGCTGGCTACGACTGCCACATATCAGATCAGTTTGGTGCTGTGTCTTCAGCTACTAGTTCTTTCTTGGCATATGAGCGAACACAGGTGATAAAGCTCTCAAAAACAGTTTCCTTCCTTCCTTCCTTAGTTTCAAACTGTAAATCTAACAAGGTTGGTTTGTCTTGCAGTACTATATGTATGAACGCCGTGATGGAAGCAATGAAATAGAAACATGTCCAAGACACGCTTGTCCGTTTGCCATTGTGGTATTCTCATATGGGAAGATGAGCACCATGCCAGATTTGGAGCAAAAAAGGTTTCGCAATTCACTCTTTCTGTCTTATTAAGAGAAAGAAGTTTTACATGTAATAATGGTGATTTTTGACAACTAAAGTTTTTTTTTCACTGTTTCTTTTAAAGCCAAGACAAAACAGGTAAGAATTTGATTATTTTGCATGTTCTTTTCTGTTTTTGTGGTGAAATTGCAAATAGGGCAATTAGCCAAGATTGTTTCATTCACAATCTTGTCCATTGCCATTCTTTCATTTATTGTATACTTCTTTTGCATAATATTCAGTGTATTTTAAATGTTCCTTTGAGAGTATGTAATTATCAACATGGTGTTTTAAGCTAAATCTTGTATTGTAGTGTTTCATTACCAACCATGGATTGGCCAGTTCAAGATTGAATCTACTGTCTATGATGTTGGTCTTCAGTCTTCGAGCGGAGCCTGGTTCCCAGCCAAACTGTATGTTTTATTTAATGACATGTATAAACCATATTTGGTAATGCACCAAAAAGCTGCCCAAGAATCAAGGGTAGATTCAGATATACTATACTATGTACTTATACGCTATAGGACTGAAATGCAAACTGTATTTTCAGCCCAAAGACAGTTGAAATTGACCATGCAATTTGTGTGTCTGAACTGAAGAGGACCTTGCCACGCGAAATCTTTGAAACTTGCATTGTGGGTGAAGGTGTGTTTAACATTTTATTTTGGTAATTGACAGGAGCGCCCATATTGGTGCTAAAACTGTAAATGAGTGCTTGGTCGACGTCTTGTAATTTATTTCCCTCCATCTCCACACAGTTTGCATAGATGGCAGATGTTTCAACTTGTATGACGTTGTGTCCTCTAAGGCGAAAAATGACCTGGCTCAGATAGCCCAAGAGCTGAAGGAAAAAGACATGGTAAATATGGAGAAGAGGGAAATATTTTTAATAATTGGACAAATCTCTGAACAAATCTTTTCTTATGATTTTTTTCCATTCAACAGGCTCTTGTTATCCCTCTGGAAGATTCTGGGTTTCTTATACTGTTACACTCTTCGCACCTCTTCTCTTATGAAGGTAAGATGTTGCCCAACAGACACCAATCCCACTAATTTTCTTAATAGAGTAATTGATTTTTAAAACCAATGTATAAACCTTTAAAAAAACAAACCCACCATGAGCTCCGGGGTTGTTAATTAGTGATATATGCTTTTATTAATGCTGTCAGTCTGTGTCAATTCCTGAAGAACTACAGTATATTACCAAAAATCCTAAATGTATATTTGTTTATATCTGATTATTAGAAATAAAATAAAAAATTATATATAGAGAGAGAGAGAGAGATTTTGTGAACATTTGTAAATGTAATTTGAAATTTTTAAATAATTGTAAAAATTATTTTACTTTCCTTTATTTCTAGATGCAAAGTCGGGTAAGGCAGCAGCACTTCAAGGCATGTTTATTTTCCCAGACTCAAGAACTGTGCCAAGAGGTAACAAGGAGAATAATTTGATTTATTAGATTTTTACATCTGTGTACCTTATGCAGCTTTTATTTGCAAGTCTTTCACATCTTATGAACATATCTTTTGTATGGTTTTATGTTTAGATGCCAAGTCTGACCTGCAAAATACTAAGGTGTCAATTGAAATAATGCAAGTAATCCCAGCGCTCAACTACGCAGAAGCAGAGATGGAAAAATGTCCTCCAAACCAGCAGGGGCGCTCTCAGGTGTTTTTAGAGAAGCATTTGCAAGACTATGGCACTCTTTTTCACCCAGGGCTATTGGATGTTCCCACCAGGGAAGCCAGTATGTTTCCAGATCAATATGATGTGCCTGGTGGTTTTACCCTAATATCGCCTAAATGGTCACAGGAGGCTGGCACTCAATTAAAATCCTATTTTGATGAGCCATGTGGCTTTACTATTCCAGTAGGGAGGGCATTGGAGTTACTCACTGCTGGTCGACAACAGCGTGGTGATGATCACGACGATGATGTCTATTACTGTATATCATCACCGGAGGAGGTGCCAGAGACTGATGGCCATATTGAAATGGAGGTGACAAAGCAATCCGAGGCCATCAGTGATGCCTCTGACAGAATAGCTGAAACCGTTAATAGACAAGAAGATGAGCAAAAGCATTTGTCCACAGAGCAGCCTCAACCTGCTTTGCCAGAGGGGCTTGGAAAGCTGGGAACAGCTGTAGTTACAGTAGCTGACAGTGTGTTGGAATATCCAACTTCCACAGGGTCACCCAAATTGGGTGATGTCCCTACAGAGAATTGTGTAAGTATTGAGAATGATGTTGAGAAAACCTCTCAAGGTAGTACTAAAGGAGATGCTAAAGGAGTCGGTGTATCTACAAAAGAGACTCCCATCCAAACTAGCAGTACACCATTAATCAAATCAACAGAAAAAGGTGCTGCTGGGGGGATGGAGGATAATACACATCCTGAGAAAACAATGCCTGATCCTGATAGGAAAGTAAATCGGAGGTCCTTTTCAAGGCGTAGAGGTAGGAAGCATAGAACTCATTGGAAAACCATGCAGAATAAAAAAAAAGTTAAAAAAAACATTGCTTTACCAACTTCAAGTTTGCCTGTCGTTTTGCCAGTGAATTCTCCCGATGACTCTACGAAAGACCAGATTAAGACTGAAACCGTGCATGCTGATGACATCAGTCAAAAACCCCATTCAACTCGTAGGGGCAAGGGACGCAGGCAAAGGGGTGTGAATCGAAATCTGAGTAAAGCCAGACAAGCACAAGACCCTTTATTAAGTGTGACAACTGAAACGATTGATGATCAAAGTATAAGTCCCTCAAAAAGAGATTGGCGGTCACATCCAAGGCGTCAAAGATTGTGGAATACAGATGCCAATCTGAAACGGTCTTTGAGATCAGATGCTGTAAAGAATGATGAGGAGACTATAGTGAATATACAGCACAATGTAACAAAACAAAGTTTGTCTAGCACACCCAAGAGGAAGATGGAGGGATTTAACTTGAGGGAACGATATGGCCTAAAGACCATAATCACAAACTGTGGTAGAGTCTTTGTCCCACATGGTTCAGATGTTGACGTAGAATCTGCACAAAAGGAGAAAACACATGTTGAGATGAGCATTGACACAAATGCAGAAACAATTTCTCCTGTGGAGAACAAATCCAATGAAATAGTGGAAAGTAAGGGAGAATCTCCCTTGAAGGGTAAGGAAGAATTGCCCTCTAAAGATCCACTGGTCAATGACGATGAAGACTCGGACAGCACTTCTAAAGACATGCCAAGTGCTCTCTTGTCAGCATTAAGGATATTGAGAAAACTTCACAAAACCCATCCATTAGAAAGTGACAAAAGTCAGGATGTATGTCCAGAAAAGTCCATAAATGCTGCATCAAACGTGGCTGTAGGTGTCCAACAAAATAACAAGGATCATCCTGTTGCTGTTCAAGCAGATGCAACTTCCAGTGTTCCCGGAGTTTCTGACCAATCCATGCCCCCGGACCCAAAAGGATACTCTCCTGACAAAATCAAAAAGAAAGCAAAACATGATGTGTACAGTGCAATATCTATAAGCAAATTGAAGACGGTGCTCAGAAGGGGAAAGAGGGTGAAATCTCCTTCCCCTGGTGACAATGCAAAATCTGAGCCAGATAACGCAGGGCCAGAGTCAAAAAAAGGAAAATTGGGCGCCATCGTGGATCTGAAGTGTGATACTGCCCAAAATGAGCTGACAGACAAAGGATCGCAACCCATAAATGATGAGGCACAGCATACGCCAATGAAAGGTGTGGAGTTGACAAAACAACCTGTGTCTTGGAGAGGTCTTATTCACAAGGCATCAAAAGAAAATGGTAAGAAAATGATTAGTTTACACATTCTGTCATTAAACAAATGTTCACATACCAAGAGTGGGAAAGTGTCCTGAAAGTGTTGTATGTATATTTGTAACCCGTTTCAAACCTCAAACCTCCTTTGTGATTACGTTTCATTCTCTTTAGTAAAGTAGACTGGCTTGATATTGAGGCATGATTATGCTGGTGTATTAAAATTGGCCCTACGTTTTCCCTCTCCATCTGTCTCCATCTTCCGTGTGCATGTTCTTCTGCTTCTTAAGGTCACTGTCTTACTCTACTTCCTCTTCTTCTTTTGCATGTCTGCTTGATTATGCACTGCGTCTACTGCTATTTTATGCGTTGTCTTTGTTTTTGTCTATTTCTTACAGGGTCCCTCAATTTTGACACATCAGCACCTTTTGAAATGGCTAAACACACTGACCCGCAGCTCATATCTTCGCTTATTGGGGATAGGGTGGGAAGGAGAAGAATTAGCACTGATGGCAAAGGCAGTGCAGAGAGACTGAGCACGGGTGCATCTCTGCCCTCAGATGCTTTGAGTTTACTGGCTGACTTGGCCCTTGGTGCGAGTAACGATAAAATATTAAAAAACTTAGAAGCCAAAGCTGAACAGGAGGCCCTTGATGGAGTGAAGGCTAGCGGCTCCCCGGAGTCAGTCCTTCATGCACTTCTTCGTTATCCATCCGCCAGATTTAAATTACCCACCAGGTCTCCTTTCCCAGAAGGTCTTTTAGTGACTGGGGAACTGATTTTGGAAATATCAAAAGAACATTCTTACTCACAGCCCACCTCTCCGCTGTCAGGTTTCTCTGGTCCATCTCTCAAGGTTTCTTTTCCATCTGGAAGTGTAGAATCGCCTCTGTCATTGAAAACTGGGCTTCATCTGAATCTACCCAGAGATGCTGTGGCCTCATGTCATCAAGAGGAAGGGGGTAAAGCAGAATGGAAGCATTTGATTTCTCCAAATAAGCCATTGTCAGAGATCCTCAAGGCGAAACCACGGAGATCAAGAATTTTACACAACAGAAGCATAATCGAAAAGGAGGGAATGATTCAAGTGACGAGGATTTGGAAAGACCCATATGATTTTAAATTTGACAGCAAGTTCACCAATGACAGGAAAGATAAAACTGTCACACGAGCACTTCATGGGTAAGTACTGCTTGTTGCCCCTACATTTCGGTTATGGTTTAATTATGATTATTGAAGTGAATATTTAATATTGTTTTTATGTTGATTTATGGCCAACAAGCTATTGTCTTGATACAAGACAAATATCAAAATATTATGGCTTTTAGTTGCTATTTGTCTGATTAGTGACAGTATAGGGACAATATAAAGGAATAGTTCACCCAAAAATAAGGATTTGTTTTTTCATCTGCTGGTTCAGTCACGCCATTTCCATTTTTTTTAACTTGCCTTTCCAATATTTTCATCCATCCCACTAAAAAATTTATTTTTAGACTTCATTTGTTTTATTTTCCATAAATATTTATATTTTTTAATTAAATGTTACATGAGGCAAACAATTACTGATTGGTTTGTAGTTCTCAACATATTGTTAACATTATTCTGATTCTATCAAGACTATCACAAGTCTTTACAATTACAATTTCTCTAATTTAGCCAGATAACATTTTTATCCAGGTGGTGACAAATCAGTGGAATTTGCAACACCAATGTAGAATTTTACAGAACACCAAATGTCTCGAGTTTGCAAGATACAAAAATGCCACATGCTTAAAATATGGCAAAGATGCGGTTTGCACCTTCTGTAACAGTTTTTGTGAAGAGAATGTGAGTTTAACACCATTTAACAGTTTTTGTGGTAATCCTTTGAGTCATCATATTCATAACCCATAAATAGACATTCCAGAAAGGCTCTGAATTTCTTTTTCTCTTTTCTAATATTGACAGGAAATGGAACTTCAACATTGAAGATACCTATGAGGATGTCCATCTCATTTTTCACATGTGGATTGGTCTTTTCTATAGTAAGCCCACGTCCAGGTTATTTCACCTTGAAAATTGTACTGCACTTCCAAAGGAGAAGAACGTTGAGATAGTTCATTTGGACATAAACGCTATTCAGAATGCTGTGTCATTGCTCAATGTTGATTTGAGCCAGGAATTGGACTCGGCCAAGCCTGTGCATGTTTCATCAGAGGTTTTGGATCTTTCTGTGAAAAATGATGAGCCTGTAAATCTTCATTCAGCCTCAAATCAGAGCATAAGAAAAGACACTGCATCACAACCTGGTGAAATGTCATCTCATAAACATGAAACGGCACCAAGGCGTTCACCTTCTGGGACAAGTCTCTCCTCCAGTCCGAAAGTTACAGAATTGATGGTAATGTATTATATCTTACACCATTAAAATTGTACTGTATTTAGGTGATGTAATTTATATTTTTCCTTGATGAGATATTTTATATTTTTATAGAATTTTAAAATATTCTATGACAACATAAATCAGTAATTTGTTATCACCGATTGATCGCCTTCTGCTAATTCACACCTGCATGCTAGGTGGCGCCGACCAGCAATGCATTTTTCCTTAGATATGTAATGTATCTCGTATATGGTCCGCTGCTCAATATATACTAGGGATGCACCGAATGTTTGGCAACCGAAATTATACAAAATAAACTGCAGAACGTTATGTTTTCTAATACACGCACGCATTGCATGTATTCTGACAGCGCTGCACGAACTCGCGGCAGATCTGCTTGTTAACCAGAGTTCAAAGTCCAAAGCGCGAGAAAAATCTGCGCTGATACAGTCGTCAGTTGCTCAGTCACATTTTTATGAATTTTTACAAGGCATGTGACAATGCGATATCTGACAGCGCTGCACGAACTCGCGGCGGATCTGCTTGTTAACCAGGGTTCAAAATCCAAAGCGCGAGGAAAATCTGTGCTGATACAGTCGTCAGTTGCTCAGTCACATTTTTTAATTTTTACAAGGCACGTGACAATGCGATACATATGACGTATTCGTAATGAGACTCATTTATAAATCTGTTGTCAGCAAAAATAAGCATTGAGGTCTTCCTGTGCGTTTCCGCCAAAAATAAAAGTTGAGAAAAAGCAAGAACTCTTATCAACATTCATAAATGTTAGTATTGTAATTTTACTGTTGTTCTGTAAAATAAAATAAAAAGTAAGAAAATAATAATGATGATAATAATCATTACAACAGCTCTGTTTTAATACATTTATTATAACATTCACACATGGTGTTCAAATTAGGATCTGTAATATTTGCTAATGTTTTAAAAGAAGTTTCTTCTCAGCAAGGCTGCTTTTAATTGTACAGTAAAAAAAATACATGCCTGATTCAAGAAGGGGGTCTGATGGCCAAAAATTATTATTTTACTAACTTATTAATTTAAAAGTTAAATTGTGCTTGCTTTGTTGGTATAGTGTCTGCTAGAATGTTAAAAATGTTCAGTGTTAAATATTTTTAAATTGTTGTTTTGTAATTGATTTTTTTTTTTTGAAACGCAAGACAAAACAGTAAAAAGCACATTTTGGCTTTTTAATTTATGCAATGGTGAAATTTTTTTTTTGGCAAAATACATGGGGAAAAAAACTCGAAAAACCGTGTTCGGTATTTGGCCCAGTGTTTAATTTTGTTCGGTTTCGGCTTCGGCCAAGAATTTTCATTTCGGTGCATCCCTATATATACAGCATTAAATGAAGGTAAATAAAGTTTGGTTCTACACCATAAACACAAACTATCTATAATGCCTACAAGAATACATCTTAAAATATAAATAGAGGTATAATTAGCATCACGCTACATTTGAAGATGTATGTGATTATTTATGTTTTTGCTTAAAACCCACTTTAAACCATCACAGAGTACTTGTAATAACTTCTGATTGAGATCTAAAGTGGATTTTAATTCTATAATAGGCAGACATGCACTCTTTGTATGTTTTTTAAAGGACTGAACGCGACACCTGCTTCTCATTTGTCATAAACATCCTTTATTGTTATAAAAATATAATGAGCTGCATAAAACACATACAGAAAATATATCGTCATAATCATATGTGTATTTGCTTTCATATTTCATGTATAGAAAAATGTTTCTCTCATTTTTCATACATTATGTCAGGAGATATTATCCCATGATTGACAGCTCTTGAGTGAACGCGCTCTGACTCATAACACTCTTTCTCAGAATACTGTTCTTCTGTGTTTGTTTACACTGGTTTTCGAAACGGCGCCTGTTGCTTTTAGTGCAACAGCAGCTGCTCCGGGCACGTGATCTTAGCTCAAATCTAATTGAATGGCCTATTTTGTCACAGAGCGACGGGGAAAAAAACGACACACGTTTCCACGTTCAGTGTGAAAAGGCCTTTACATAACTGTGAGTGGCAAAAGTATGTAAATCTTTGCTTTCAGTATCTGGTCTGACCCCCTTTTGCAGCAGTAAATGCGGCTAAATGTTTTTTTTGTAACTGCTGATCAGTTCTGCCCAACAACTTGTTGGAATTTTAGCCTATTCCTTAGTACAGAACCACTTCAACTCTATGATGGTGGGTTTCCTCCTATGAACTGCTTGATTCGGGTCCTTCCACAACATTTCAGTTGGAATAAGGTCCGGACTTTTTTTCTCGGCCATTCCAAAACATTAACTTTGGTCTTTTTTAACCATTCTTTGGTAGAACAGTTGTGCTTGCGGTCATTGTCTTAATGCATTACCCACTTTCTATTGAGACTCAGTTCTTGGACAGATCCTGAGATTTTCTTATAGAATTTGCTGGTATAATTCAGAATTCATTGTTCCATCAATGATGGCAAGCAGTCTTGCAGCAAAACAGGACCAAGCCATGTTTCACAGATGGGATAAGATTCTTATGCTTGAATTATTTTCCTTTCTTCAAACATAACGCTTCTCATTTAAACCAAAAAGTTCTATTTTGGTCTCATCTGTCCACAAAACATTTCTCCGATAGCCCTCTGGCTTGTCCACATGATCTTTAGCAAACTGCAGATGGCCAGCAATGTTCTTTTTGGAGAGCAGTGGCTTTCTCCTTGCAACTCTGCGATGCACACCATGGCTGTTCAATGTTCTCCTGATGGTGGACTCATGAACATTAACATTAAACAATGTGAGAAAGGCCTTTAGTTACTTAGACGTTACCCTGGGGTCCTTTGCAACCTCACGTACTACTACACATCTTGCTTTTGGAGTGATGTTTCTTAGTCGACCACTCATAGTGATGGTAACAATGGTCTTGAATTTTCTTCATTTGTACACAATCTGTCTGACTGGATTTGTGGTGTCCAAACTCTTTACAGATTGTTTTGTAAACTTTTCCAGCCTAATGACCAACAACAGCTCTTTTTCTGAGGACCTCAGAGATTTCCTTTGTAAGTGCCATGATTTACTTCCACAAACATAAGACTTTGATAGATCCCTGTTCTTTAAATAAAACGGGGCACGCACTGACTGAAAATACCTCTGAACAGATGGACTCTAATTTCACCTTAAAATTACCTGCTAATCCTACAGATTCACACACTTTTTCCACTCACAGATATGTAATATTAGATAATTTTCTTGAATAAATAAATGACAAAGTATATATTTTTGCCTCATTTGTTTGATTGCGTTCTCTTTGTCAACTTTCAGGACTTGCATAAAAACCTGATGATATTTTGGGTTAGATTTATGCAGAAATATAGACAATTCTAATGGGTTCACAGACTTTCAAGCACCACTGTACTCTACCAGACTTTAAAGTTTTTCTGATAACAACAAACTCATGATTTTTATAAACAAATTCATATTTGTATTTTTTTATGCTTATAAGTATTTATAAGAACTTTTATAGAATTAATTTTTCTGAGATAACAGTTTGTTATCTTTTAGTCTTTAGTTATTTGTCATCTCTATACATACAGTACTGTGCAAAGTCTTAGGCCATTGGTGTTTTCAGCAAAAAATAAAAATTTAAGCCAGTAATTTCTATATTTTGCTGTAGTGTGTCAGTAGGAAATATCAGTTAACATTTCCAAACATTCCTTTTGCCATTAATTGTAATAATCCAGTGCGGTTTTACATGCACAAGGAGTCTGAAAACAGCTAGTGCCATCATCGATTTTGTCTGGGATTACATGAAGAAACAGAAAAAAACCGAGAAAGACTAAAATGCTGTAAAGTGTGGATGCTTTCAAAAATAATTTCATAAATAGATTTCATTTATCAATTAACTTCCATTAACTAAAACAGCCTTTTATCCGAGGTACACTTGCACATAGTTTTTCAGGTAGCTTTGCAGGAAGGTTTCTTCAAGTGTCTTGGAGACGTTGGCACAGTTCTTCTGGATTTAGTCTGTCACAGTTTTTTCAGGTTTTTTTTCATGTAATCCCAGACCGACTGAATGATGGTGAGATCAGATCTTTGTGTGGAGAATACTGGCTGTTAATGGCAAAAGGAATGCTTGGAAATGTAAACTGATATTTCCTACGTACACAAGAAATAAATAACTGGCTTAACTTTTTTTGTGAAAATACTGTATGTTTATATATAAATCAGTTATATATTTGCTTCTTGTACAGTGTGTGTGATTTAAATACTGATTTTGTTTAGCATATTTTCATTTCTCTGTTACAGAATTATAGAACTCTTGCAGATGTACCAGTGGAAAGTTCAGTGCCTGACAATGATAATGACACTGATTATGAAAATGACGTCACCACTGACTGCTCATATTCACAGCACTTGGAAAAAAACAGTGCATACAACCAGTTGTGTGAGCAAGCATCAAATATGAGAATAGGTGTTCGGATACTCCAACCAAAGGTCAGAAATGCTACAAATAATAAAGCATCCACCAGCGTGGCCACTTCTGGTCCCCAAAAAATTGGTGTTTTCCATCAAATTCTTGGTCCCATAAAACCATCAGCATTCTCAAAACAACACCATCTGATTTTGGGTAGGAAAAGTTTTGATCTGGGTTTAAAGAATGAAACTGGGCATGTACCGCATGTAATACTGCAAAAGGAGAAAGTGTCTGACAGTGCAGAAAGTAAAGAGATTTTTGAAGCAAAGAATGAAAGAAACAAAGATGGGTGCCCAGAAGCTCTGGTTAATGAAAATGTTGACAAGACTGTTGAACTTAAAACTGGAGCATCCGCTTTGGTGGAGGAAGAGAGTGTATCTGTAGCTGAAGAGAGTAAAGTTGTATCAGATGAAGATAGCTGGGATAGATGTCTGACAATGATGGAAGATGGAAGTGTTGAAGAAGGTGAGGAAATGATGCAAGAAAGTGAGATTAAATCAAAGGAAGAGGCAGACCTGGTTGGCAGTGATACTGAACATGAGACGTCCACAGCAATGGAGGAATATCTAGATGACTTTACTTTGGTTTTGGAGGATGATATAAACAGTGTTGATATGGAATTCAGTGACGAGGATTCTGAAACCAAGGTACAGAAGGAAGTTTATGAACAAAACGGCTCCACTGAGAAATCATCTGCCTTCACCGATGATGACCATGACATAAGGATGCAGAAGAGTGAAAAACAACCTCAGACACCAGAGGAGGCAAACCTTGTAGATGGTGCCCTTGAAAAATTTAGAAAAGATTCATGTCCAGGTGAAGATCAGCTCATGTCTGTTCAAGAGAAACACACCCTTGCTGCTAATGATACTTCTGATGTAATGCATGATGAGGGTGAAACCAAGACTACTGAGCAGAATATAGTGGTCCAACAAGAGGCTCTTGACGTTTGTCGGGATGAGTCAAAACCAACAAGTACCGTTGAACCCACCAAAATAGATATTAGTCATTTAGAAAAAGATGACGAAAGAGATTTAGGCCAACAAGATGCATTTAATGTCACTGATGAGGATGATACACTTTTTGATGAGAATGAAACACAAAGTCAAGATTCTTGTGAAGATCAAATGATCGAATCAAACCAAGAATGTCTGTCCCTAAATATTTGTGCATCACCCCCAAATACCATGACTGACTCTCGTGATGAAGCAGTTGCTCTAATTGACAAACCCTCAGAAGTGGAGGTAAACAGCATGTGCTCAACTTCCACTCAAGATGAAATTCCGTGTTATCCAGAGGTAAACAAAAGATTCAGGAAAGAGGATTTGAATAGGGACTTGCACTACCCAGACGACGCTGATCACGCTGACATGATGCCACCTAAAACTCCAGTAAGCCCTCAACCCCATGTTTCTACCACAAAGCCATTATCTGACTTTACAGGACATTATGAAGAAATCCACGATGACAACCTAAGGTGGAGTAGGAACAAATACACTGGCACAGTGGATTTTAAAGATAAATCTGCAACAACTACTGAGCATTCACCCAATGAAGACTCTTTTCCGTTAAAGCACAAACTCTATCCCACCTCCTATCAAAAAGAAGACTGTGATTTCATAGAGGGTGCATCTCAAAATGATTCTGAACTCTATTACAGAGACAATTTACATGGATATTACCACAGATCTGATGAATATATGCCATGGCATGATTACCAAACAGAGGAATCCGTTGATCACCAATTTTACACATGTGGAAACGACTCTGGTGGTGACAATGGTTCACCCATTTGTTCCAAGTACATTACATCTGAACGTGACTATTCCTACAAGCACAAAGAGCATGCAAAGACAGAGAGGGATGACTACTGTTGGGCAGAAAATAATTATAAATCGGACACTCTATCTTTCAAATACCCAATAAAGGTTACTTGCACTGCAGACTATGAGACAGAAGTAGCCCGAAGTTCAAAAAAGAAGTCTCAAAAAAGCAAATTCTGTCAAAATGCTGAGTGGGATGATGATCCTTCTGACAGCATTCAAAAAACATCATACTTTGAAACGTATCAAACAAAGCCAACTAGGTCGTTCACAGTTAGTTCCACTTCACATGTTAAGCCAAGCACACAGCAATTTGACTGGCGCAGGTATTTCAGAAGGGAGGTGACTTGCAGTCAGCTATTAGATGCGAGTGAGAGGGATAACAAATTTGACATTCCACCCTCATCCATTGTTACCATTTTGGACAGGAAAGGAAACCGTGTTATATTCAATAACTCTCCCACCATGAAACCGTCTTTCGATGGAAGTAGTTTGACTAAGGGACTTGAAGACTCTTTTAATGAATGGCAGGAACAACAAAGTAAGGCTGACGTGACCCTGTCTGCACTTGATTGCGAGTACCTCATCTTCTCTCGAAAAATTAATCGGGTTCTCAAAGAAACAAAGAGCTCTACCACGTCACACTGTAGGTCAAATCCTGACCCGGCTTCATGTCCCATGACTGTTCGGTTTTCAAATCTCAGTGAAGTAGAGAGTTCCGCTGAACTTAGTAAAGCACAACCATCACTTACCGATTTTAAGATTAAAGTGGACATGTCTGACAGGAAAGAGATGAAGGAAACAGTGAGAAACCGTAAACCACATCTCCAAAGACTTTTCTGTGAAAAAGGCAGTGGTGTTGAGTTCTCCGGGATATCACAAATAACAGAGCAATGCGCTGTTGCATACAAGTCCATGATAAACGATGTCTGCAGCGGGAAGACTCTGCCTCGTCCAACTGAGGCAAGAAAGAGGAAGTTTGATGGGGGTAGAGTGGGCCGTTATTCTGGATTCTGTGGTCGCATCAAGAAAGATGTTTTTAACAGTCCAAAGTCTATTGTGAGTCAAGCTAAGATCAAGTACAGGTTTTATATCCTTGTCACATCAACAGATACCTTCTTTGAAGAAACCAAGGTAAGAAAGTTAATGCATTAAAAGAATCTTATAAAGTGGTCCAAAACAGTGAAGAAAGATTTTCATGTGAATTTCTATGATTTATAGAACCTTTTGGAGATTGAGGGCCACAAACCGTTGGAGCCGGACGAGTTTGACCTCAGTGGTGATGATCAATCCCCTTTGCTCATTATACTGAGGAATGAGGACATTGCAGAGCACATATGTGAGGTAAGTGAATCAGTGAAACTCAAAATTTTATTAAAGGGGTCATATGATGCGATTTCAAGTTTTCCTTTCTCTTTGGAGTATTACAAGCTGTTCGTGCATAGATAAGATCCCTAAAGTTGCAAAGCCTAAAGTCTCAAACCCAAAGAGATATTCTTTATAAAAGTTAAGACTCGTCCACGCCCTCCTAAAACGCCTCGTTTAAACATGCCCCCACATGTCTACGTCACTGTGTGGGAAGATTTGCATAACACCGCCCAAATGTTCACGCAAAGAAAGAAGGCATAACTTTGATTCTCGCTGTAGTATTGTTGCCGCCGCCCCCGTGTCGTGGAGACGCAGCGTTTCGTTGTGAAAGCGAAACTACTTTGTTTGGCCTTCCAAAAGAGGACGCCTACAATGCCGGTGTTCTGACAAATAATGCTGACTCACAGCCTGTAAGCACGTTTTCATATTTAAAGGGGTCTTTCTTTGAAGATATTCTTTGTCAAAGTTAAGACTCTGCCACGCCCCCCTAAAACGGCTCGTTCTAACACGGTTCTTTTTTTAGCAACGTCATATGACCCCTTTTAAAGCACTAGCGTTAATTCCTCAGTAACAACGGTGTTAAGCTGAAAATGTGTAAATCATCTTTTAAGTGGATGATTTGACCCAGATGCAAAATAGCAGCTTGAATCATTTAATTGGCTCATTTAGTAAAAAAAAGACACTATTAAATGCTGTGAGAAAATTATAACTTTAAACATTTTCATAAAATAGACAAATTATGCTCAGGGGCGGATTTTGTGATTTGGGGGCCCCAGGCAAAATACAGGAATGGGGCCCTATACAATTTCACACATTTACAACCTCGAGGTTCCTTTCACTGTTGCTCGCTGCTGCACAATCGTGTCCCATAGTTGTGTCTAATCTTTTAGATTTTTCATGTACATGTTATAAATAAAGGATTTTTTAATTTTGTTCTCTTTTAATCTCTTGTAATGCTCTT